TATCCTCATTCTAGTTTTTTGGAAAAAAACTATATTTCTCAGAAGCTGAGTGACTTACCCACGACTGCACCACGGCAGCCTTTGCATCGGGTTGAGCCAGCCCTGTCCGGGAGTCCCATTCTTCTGCTTTTCAAAAGGACTGAGAGGTGGTCAGGATCTTGAATCCCATCCAACTCCCACAGTTTCCAGAGAGATTTGTGACAGGGGCAGACTGGCCCAGAGGAGACTTGTTAGTATCCCCAGTTTAAACTTTTGGCCCATATTTCTCCTGCAATGGACCCATATTTTAGCTTCAGTGAGCCCTTTAATCTTTTTAGCCCAAAAGCATTGGTCCTCAGATGTGGGAACACTCCGAGGGGAACACGAGAAACTCCTCCATGACCATCACCACTAGATGGTCAACCCAAAAGAGAACTGGCCTCAGCTGTCCTCTCCTTACCCATTTTCCCACAGACAACTCCTGACCATAGGTTCTGGGGACAAAAGCCTGCCAATCAAGATATACTGTTAGTTCCTCCCCGCTCAAAAACATGTAACCCTTGCCTGCCCCCTCCAACTAAGTATTCGCATCCACCTAGCACTGTGGCTTTTTTGTGTTTATCATTCAATCCATCAGAGCATCTTCCTTGGGCAGTAGTTGTGGGGGCTGGAAACAGGCCTTGAGCTCCCTCTAGAGGCTGCAATCATGCAACCAACACACAGGACTGGACTTAATACAGCTGCAGGAGGAATAGCCAGGGACAAAGTCCCACTATTCTCCCCTGGAGAAGCAAACCAGGGCCAAAGTGACAATCCCAACAACTCCTTCCAAGTGAGCAGATACAGAGACAGCTGGTCTCGCCAATGGGAAGACAGGTGTCTCTGACCTCTAGAGCCTGATGCATCTCAGCTGAAAAATAGGAAGCAACAGATGGGCCAGCCAGCCCCCAGATTCTGACCTCTGAGTCCCCACTCAGTCCCACGAAACAGAAAAGAAGAGAGAGAGGTGTTTTGTTCCTGGCACCACACACTGACCAGTGAAAGGCAGCCTAGGTGGACAGCCTACTCAGTGCAAAGCCTTGGAGGTGGACAGAGGCTGCCTGCCACAGACAAACAGAGAACCCGCCTCAGGACAAAAGGGGCTTGTGTCTGGAGAACCACTGGATGAATTTTTTACTCCTGTGTGCAGCCCACACATTAGAAATATTTGATACATGGTAAACGCATTTTGGAATAATGTTGAATGACCACACACCTAATAGCTGTCTAAGGTCTGCCAGAATAAGGAAGGGCTGCTTCTTCTGTCTAGTACAGAGTGCATCTATTGTGTGTAGAATTGTATCACCCCAAAGAGATATGGTGCATTCTTAACTCCCAGTAGCTATGACTGTGACCTTATTTGGAAATGGGGTTTTTGGTAGCTTAATCAAATCAAGAGGAGGTCATACTAGATTAAGGTGAGCCTTAATGCAATGACAGGTGTTCTTATTTTAACAAAAGGAAAATTTAGACACAAACGCACAGTGACACAGGGGAGAACATTGTGTGATGACAGAGACAAAGATCGAAGTGATGTGTCTATAAGCCAAGGGACACCAAGGATTGCTGGCAACCACCAGAACCCAGCAGAGAGGCAGCAAAGGGTCCTTCCCTAAAATCTTCAGAGGGAGCATGGTCTTACTAACACCTGGACTTCTGACTTCCAGCATCCATTATTGCAAGGGAGTGAATTTCTATTGTTTTAAGTCATCCAGCTTATGGTAATTTAATGTGGCAGCCCTAGCAAACCTATGGACTGCTTGACACTTCAGCAAAGTGAAATGAAAAATATCAGGACCCCTACAGGGAGGGCTGTATACCTTTTATTCCCTTCCAAGAGAGCCAAACAACGCCCAGTTATTATTTGTACTGTTGCCAGTTCCCTGCCTGAAGATAAGGCTTTTCATTCATGCAAACAATTCTGGGCTTTGGAATTCAAGGACATGCCCCAGAGGGATCTCTGGAAAAATCCTGCAGGACCTGAGGGCTTCCTGAAATAAGCAAAAGGTGAGAGCCCAAAAAGATCAGAAATTACAGGCACACCTCAATTCCCTCATGTGAAATACTGAGCAGTAAGTAGCTTTCTTTCAAATTTCTTCGTGAAAGTATATTTTGAAAAAGTAGGCATATTTTTCAATAATACAGGGCATTTCAGACATTCTGGTCTTGCTTACCTAGTGCAGAAATAGCTTATTCCCTGCTTATGGGTAATACATAATCACTAAGGTCTGTTAATCTTATCTGTTTCCCAGTAGAAAGTAAATTCATCACATAGGTGTAGCAGAGGGTCTCAACACCCTTTCTCCAAAAAAGGGGGACAGAGTCTTTCCTTCCAGGGACCCTGTCCCACTAGTCTAGAAGCTTCACATGAGAACAACAGTCCTTTTTTGTCAAAATCCATGATATGCAGCACCAGGCAGGGCATCCTACAGGTTTGCTGGGAAAAACGAGTCTGAGTATAGGAAGGATGGAGGTGGAAAGGGACCTCCAAGTTGGTGGGATCTGCAACCTCAAAGGTCTCCTGCTCCGTCCTCTTCCTACCAAACTCTATAAACACATGAAGAGAACACTGTGTCTGAATTTTCTGGATCAGTTAACATTACTTCTGAGTTACATCCTCTATAAAACCTCATCCATACAATGGCTGGGCTTCAGTGAAGCCAAAACCACATATTTAAATTTTTTTCCACTTAAGAAAGCAAGTTCAAGATGTGAACATAAAATATTGTCCAAATCTACCTAGTTCCAGGACAGTTGCTGCTAATCAGCTTGGGTCCTTGCAATCTTTCTGTTGGCACTGACCTTGGGTCTCTGTATTTGCTGACTCTCTAGGCAACCTGATATGTTTTCTTCCCAACAGGGCTCCTGGAAAGCCCCCATTTGGCCCAAGCCCCAAAACTCCCACTGATCAGCTCTCTTGACACTCATCCCACTGAGTACGATAACTGCTGAGAGGGACAGCTTCCCCTGCACCCCCATCCTGAGAACTGGAGTCGCAGCCTGACTGAATAGAGAAGGAATCCTGAGGGGTCAGCTTTCTCTCACCTGCAGCATCTCCAAAGGTTCCCTTGGATGAAGCCTTTGACCAGCCATGCCATAATGCTCAGGGCTCTTCAAAAACAAGGTCTCCCTTCACTGCATCCTTTAGGTTTTCAAAGGCATATGAGCCTTCAAGAAAACTAACATGGCCACACTTTAGAGAAATATTTGATAGTATCTTGGCTAAATTTACTGATGGTTGAAAAAAAAGAACTAAAATGAGGAAAATTAGGTGGGGCTTTAGGAATAAGTGCTTTTGAAAATCAGCTGTTTAGGAAAGAGCTCAGCAGAACACTTTTATCTGTTGGGAAGGGGAAGTTCAGATACCAGTAGGAAGCGGGCGGGGGGTGGCAGGTCCGAATATTCTGAAGTGCTGACATGGAGAGCGAGCAAATATCTGCACACACGCAGTTTTTCGTAGCTCAGGCCTTGGGTGATTTGGATCTCTGGGGTGTGGAAGGTGGCAGCCGGCCTCACAACTTGGAAAGAAGGTGGATCTGAGGTTAGTGGTAGGAACACAGCTGGAGCAAATGCAGCCGGAACTGGTGAAGCCAGTGTGTGGGGGTCAGTGAGAGGGTTGCTGGAGTCCTCCAACAGCACACATTGCCATCTCACCAAGGCCCCAGGAGGACCCTGGCTGGGGAAGGCTATTCCTAAAACTAACTCAACTCATCTGCAAGATGAGCTGATAAAGACAACTTTTCTGTATACAGAGAGAGCACAGGAGGGTCATATGAGATGATGGTTGTTAAAAAGCTTTAAAAAGTACAAATTCTAAACAAGTAAGAAGGATTGTGATATTCTTGTGACTAATTCCCCGTCACTTAGGGAAGGCACAAAGCTTGTTGTTGGAAGAAATTGTGGCTTGAAGAGTTTAGGCGAGGGCCAGGTCAACTGGGGTGCTTGCAGAGCAAAATCACCTCATGATCAGGTGACCTTGTTACACAATATCAGGTGATGTTGAATTTGATGACGTTGGTGGAGTTGCCCTTGAATCGTGGGACTGTAGGAAGGGCACACAGTGAAAGCTGAGTCACAGCCAGGTCAGGTGAAGAGCCCTCAGGGGAAAGTCAGGAAAAGTGGATTCTCATGTCAGGTACAGCAAAGCACCGGCCTGTGTCATCAGCTGTCATTGTGCCTATTTGTACAGTTTTAAATAAAAGTGTAATGTCTTCATCTTTTTCACTTGTGGTACTTCGTAAGCATGTGGACCTGTGTGCACACGTGTTGTAAGGCTTATGGGAGCTCATCCCCTTCAGCCCTTCACGCCCAGGCCCTTACTGAGCACCGACCTATGTGGGTCTCCGGACATACCCTGCTGGATGAAAGAAGGGCTCGGAGTAGTGGTCCCAACCCTAGCTGCCAATCAGAATCGATTAAAAAGCTATTAAAATCTTGACATACAGCCCCCATCTCAAGAAGCTCTGATTTAGCTGATAAAAATTAAGACCCTGGCATGAAAAGTTTTCCAGTTTTCTTACATTTGTTGGGGTGATGTTGGTTAATAAGATTACATAAGTTGCAAGTGTAAAATGCTACAATAACCATCTGTACGTTATACTGTGTCACCTCCTGTAACCATATATTTGGACCCCTTTACCCTCTTCCATGTCCCCACCCACCCCCTTTCCCTCTGGCAGCCACCACACTGTTATCTATGTCTATGAGTTTTTATGAAGTAACACCATTTGCAACAACATGGATGAATCTTCTGAATATTAGGCTAAGCAAAATAACGCAGATGGAAAAAGTCAAGAACCATATAATTCACTTGCATATGGAAATAAAACAGAAAGCAGCAAATGGATGAACAAGACAAACACAGACACAGGAATAGTGTCTAAAAACTCCCCAGGGGCTCTCACAGGCAGCAGAAGTAGAGAACCAAGTCGAGGTGTCAAAGACCAGCCAAGCCAGTGATTGCCAAACTTCGTCTTTTACAGAAAAACTATTCTTCGACCACAACAAAATCTCAGTAGGTTGAAACCTACTGCATGAACAAAAGAAGAGAGAGGAAGCAGTCTCGCTGGTGGAGGTGGAGACAGCAGGCCGAGGCCCTTGCTCCTGCCACTTCGCTCCTGCCACTTCGCTCCAAGGTGGAGCGCCAGCCCTTAAGGACACAACTTGCTGGAATCGAAAGCATCACATCCTGAATTCAACAAGGGTCTTCCCACCGCACAGCACTGCCAGCCTCTGCTACCCTCGGAACACAATGCAACCCTCACCCCGAAACTTGGCCTAAGACCAACTGCAACTGTTTTTCCGCCCATATCCAACACTCTTCACTCTCTGTGAGTCAGTCGCAGGCCTTACAGAACAGAGAAAATAACACCTAATATATATAAATAATTCAAGGCTGAGTTTATTCACGATGCCGTGCTTTCTCCAGGCAGTGGTTCCTGTAACCTCTCTACCGGCTGGGCCGCCTCCATAGCATTTATTACTGCAGACAAACCGTTAGAAGCTGTTCTGATTTACGCATCTACATTCTGTTAAGGGGGAAAGTTCATAGCACACTGCAGTTCCTGCTGCTGGCATCGTGAGAGAAAAAAGAAAAAGACTAGAGAAAAGAATGGGGAATAGTCACTCTGCTGGTCTAAGGGGAGCGAGAGAAATTAGTCTTTTATGAAATATTTAATTATTTATCTGGTGCACACTCTCACTCTCATACACACACTCACCCATATACCTATACCAGGTAAAATAATGTTTTTCAAACATCTATCAAGTGCCAACTTACTCTTCTAGGCGATTGGGATACACTTCTGAACACACTAGACAGAATCCCTGCTCTCATAACATAGTCCAGTTCTTACCAACATGCCCGTGGTGACAATGACACTGCCACCATCTTTGTCTCTGCAACAGTGTTGCTGCAGGATTGCCACTTAGCAGACACTCTATGGCTGCTGAATGTATGAGTGAATCCAACGTGTGGAATAAAATAACGTTCCCAACCCAGGGTGCTTTTCCCCTCTCTCTCTTCACCGTCAGGCTCAATAAGAAAAGCCACATAAAAGCTCACGTGACACTGAGATGTGGGTCTGGATGGCTCTGCTCATCTTGGCTTGGCTCACTCACACAGCTGGGAGCGGGCTGGCTGTCCACCGGCCAGGTCAGCCTCCGTTGGGATAAATGGTGCCTCTCCTCCTCCATAAAGCAGCAGCATGACTTTATGGTCATTGCAGAAGAATAGAAAGCAAGCTGAAACATACAGGCCTTCTCAAGTGTAATGTTGGTGCTGAGAAACCATTACTTCTTAGGGATTTCATCGGCTGAAGGAAGTCAGAAGGTGAGCCAGACTCAAGCAGTACAAGATACCATCTTTAGGGAAAGGATCTAAAAAGTCACCGAGTAAAGGACAAGGCTAAAAGGGGAGAAGAATTGAAGCCACCATTGCAATATTTCACAGGCACCCAGCAAATCAGCAAAAATCTGTGACGGGAGCCAACCTCTTCAGTGAAGGGTGCTGTCCTTTCCAGTAGCAAGCAGGCACATTCCCACCCAGGCTCCCTGGGGAGTTTAGGGAGAAAGTATACATATGTCTGAAAATCGTTCAGTGTGTCTTGAGTGTCCTCCTGCAAGAGCAGGAGGACAAGGTCCCTGATCCTGACCTGAGCCACACATAGGGTTGGCACTTGCCTCTGACCCCCTCTCCAATCTCTTGCTAGATCTTTTCTCTCCCTTCTTATCCCATAACCTTAGGAGACAGGATGTGCTTACAGTTCAATAACAGGACATCATTTTATTTTTTAAATATAGTTTATTTATTATGCTATTACAGTTGTCCCATTTCCCCCTTCACTCCCCTCCACCCTGCACACCCTCTCCCACCCACATTCCCCCACTTTAGTTCATGTCCATGTATCATACTTCCAAGTTCTTTAGCTTCTACATTTTCCATACTATTCTTGCCCTCCCCCTGTTTATTTTCTACCTACCATCTATGCCACTTATTCTCTGTACCTTTTCCCCCCTCTCTCCTCCTCCCACTCCCCTGTTGCTAACCCTCCATGTGATCTTCATTTCTATGGTTCTGTTCCAGTTCTACTTGTTTATTTATTTTGTCTTTCTTTTTGTTTTAGGTGTGGTTGCTAATAATTGTGAGTTTGGTGTCATTTTACTTTACATGTTTTTTACCTTTTTTTTAGATAAATCCCTTTAACATTTCATATAAGGACTTGATGATGATGAACTCTTTTAACTTGACCTTATCTGAGAAGCACTTTATCTACTCTTCCATTGTAAATGAAAGCTTTGCTGGATAGAGCAATCTTGGTTGTAGGTCCTTGCCTTTTATGACTTGGAATACTTCTTTCCAGCCCCTTCTTGCCTGCAAGGTCTCTTTTGAGAAGTCAGCTGACAGTCTGATTGGGGACTTCTTTGTAGGTAACTGTCTCCTTGTCTCTTGCTGCCTCTAGGATTCTCTCCTTCATTTTAATCTGGGCTAATATAATTACAATGTGCCTTAGTGTGTTCCTCCTTAGGTCCACCTTCTTTGGGACCCTCTGAGCTTCCTGGACTTCCTGAAAGTCTATTTCCTTTGCCAGATTGGGGAGGTTCTTTATTATTCATTCAAATAATTTTTTCACTTGTTGCTCTTCCTCTTCTCCTTCTGGTATCCCTATAATTCAGATGTTGGAATGTTTAAAGATGTCCTGGAGGTTCCTAAGCCTCTCCTCATTTTTTTTTTGAATTCTTATTTCTTTATTCTTTTCTGTTTGGTTGTTTCTTTCTTCCTTGTGATCCACTTCATTGATTTGAGTCCCAGTTTCCTTCCCATCACTATTGGTTCCCTGTACATTTTCCTTTATTTCACTTAGTGTAGCCTTCATTTGCTCATCTAATTTGTGACCAAATTACACCAATTCTGTGAGCATCCTGATTACCAGTGCTTTGAACTGTGCATCTGATAGGTTGGCTATCTCTTCGTCACTAGGTTGGCCATATTATTTCTGGAGCTTTGATCTGTTCTTTCATTTTGGCCATTTTTTTTGTCTTGACACACCTATTACCTATGAGGGGCAGAGCCTTAGGTGTTCACCTGGTGGGGCAACTCAGTCACTGGGTTGTGACGCAGTATGTGGGGGGCAGTCCAAGAAAGAACAACGGTGTTTGTTCCACTCTCTGCCAGATTTCAGTCACTTCCACCACTTCCCCCAAGCAAATTGGGCCCTTCTGGTGTTGGTTCCCAGGTATGTGGGCTTGTGTACATTCTAGGACCCTGTGAGTCTCTCCAAAAAACTTTCCTGTGAGACTGGAAGTCTCTCCCAAAATCTCAATCCCCACAGGTTTTCAGTTGATGTTTTGAGGTTTTATTTCCCCTTGCTGGAACCCTGGGTTGCTGGGTCTGTCTTGCTCCCCAGTTTTGCCTGGTTTATCTTTGCATGAATGTGGGATCACCGAGTCTACCAGCCACCTTGTGCGCCTTACCCTTCTACAATCTGCCACCTCACTGGGTCCACCCACTGCCACCTAGCACACCTGGGGTTTGCTAGCCACAACTTTGCTGCAAGTCCTCTCCACCAAGCCACCCAACACCACCGCTCCTACTGGTCTGGATGAATGTTTCTTCTTTAACTCCTTGGTTTTTGGACTTCCATGTGACCTTCCATGTTGTTTTTTTGTTTCTGAATATTTGTCGTCCTTATTTTGGTTGTGCGAGGAGGCACAGTGTGTCTAACTATGCCTCCATCTTGGCTGGAAGTCTGAGACATTGTTTTAGATCTAACATATTGAAAACTCACCATGCCCCAGGCCCTGTGCTAAAGGACTTTGCATGTTACCTCATTTAATGTTTACAATAATCTTTTGAAAAAAAGAAGAACAAGAAAAAGAAGAATGAGAAGAAGAAGAAGATGACAATGACTAAGAAAGATTAAGTCACTTGTCCAAGGTTTTCTAGCTAGTAAGTAATTGAGTCAGGTTTCAAACCTGGTCTTCCTGAATCAGAGCCCATGTTCCTAACCACTACGCTATGTTCCCCCTTCCTTGAACACAGAGGGTGTCCTTCACTAAAAGCAGGATACCCACTTTGGTAAAGAATTACCACTTTCTTAAAGCAAAAAGACTACAATCTTCTGCCTTGTTCCCTCTTAACAGACAGTGGGTAGGAAGGAACCAAGTTCACACAACATTTTGGAATACTTTCCCCTGGGGACAAGGAGGTGAGGGACATGAGGAGCAGGTTATTAAACTTTCTATCCTGTTTAATTTCCACCAGCTCCCACCAGAATAGCCCAGGCAGAGTAACTGAAAATGAGAGCATAGATTCAGTTCTTCTTCAGGCCATTTGGAATTAACATAACGCATGGTGTAATTTGCTCACCCACACAAGCACCAATAATCCTTTGTGTAATTTCCTGTTGTTGGTTGGGAAGGAGGCTGAGTCTGGACCAGAAGGAAAGTATGGGAATTCCATCTACATTTTTTCAAAAGCACTGAATTGTCACAGAAGCACCTGGATATGACCAAGTGGGAGAGTGTGGCCAGGGGAATGTGTGGCAGCTCCCCTGTATGTTGCACTGTGGGAGGGTACTGAGTTCTCCGTACATGGACTGTCTGTCTAATCCCCACCCTCTGCATGGTGTGTTCCTTTCTCAACACCACTTAATATTTGCACCCTAAAATCAATGGGAAAATGGAAACCTACCACTTGATACATAGGTTTCCAGTCTTGTGACAGTTCCAATGTAGAACACTAGTGAAAGCTGGATTCAGGACCACGTCCTAGGTTTGATGTCCTGAGACGAGCATGCTCAGGGATGCTGGAGAAGAAAGAGACATATAACTGGTCAACAAGACTCTTGTTCATTCAGCCAGCCAGTTGCATAAGTGAAACAGCCAGTTGACAGGCTGTTTCACTCCATTCCTCAAAGGAGAATTCTGTGGGCATCAATTTGCACTTGGGAGAAAAGATAGAGTCGGGAGTAGTCACGGTAGTAAAGAAAAAGTTGGAAGAGAGACTACTATGCCCAAACACAAGGAAGAGATGGGAATCCTGTCTCTAAGGCACAGAGACCTCATCTAGTAAGCATGTCCCTGAGTGTTAAGCATGGCCCAATCACATTGGCCACTCCTGTTCCCTTGGGAAAGAATGAGTGAGGGATAAGGGACTCTCATTCCTTAGCATTCCCCATGTGGGGAATGTGGACAGAAGTCACCTAATCTCTTAAAAGATACCACATAATATAGAGAAATGGATGTCAGCTTGCCTTTTCTCAATGAGGCCAAGGGGATAGTGACTAACTTTGAAGACTAATTTTAAAAAACAGCAGGAAGTGTGAGACTGTGAGCAGAGAAAAGCAAAAAAGGTTGAGGGACAGCCCATTTGTGGTAGCCTTTCCCTCCTGGGAACTGGCCTGTCTCTTAGGCTCAGCTGTGATGTGTGGGACAGTGGTAGGTCCACAAGAGAATTGAAGCACATTGGAGGAACAGATGCTAAATGTTTGTTAGCATGAGCTGGAGCTGAGAAGTCAGCCAAATGGGAGGTAGGGAACCACAAAAAAGAAGGAGGAGACCACCAGAGAGGGCAAAAAGAAGGTGCCAGGAACTCACTCTGGACCTGGCTGTCTTCCCTCGCAGGTGGACTGCTGTCTCCCTCAGAGAGCTCAAGCTAGGGCAGGGTGGATGCTGTCCAATGGAGGCTTAATGACCTCCTCATTTTGGTTTCTTTGTTCTGTAAAGACATGTATGACCACATTAGTATGCTCAGCAAAGGGCCTCCTTTTGTTGTGGCAGGTGCTGTAGGAATTCAGAGCAGCTGATGCTTCATCAAATCAGGAGCCCGCAGAGCACCCCAGGAGGTCAGAAAGCCCAGGCCCCTGCTCCTCACATCTGGCCCATCTGTTCAAAGATGTGGCAGGTCAGAAATATTTTTTAAATTATGTTTATTGTACTTCACCTTATTTTAAGAGTGATACACTTTCATCAGAGAAAACATGGAGCATGCCGTGAAGACCAGAAAAGAAAACAAAAATAAAATCTAGTCTTGGTCACCACCCAACGAGAGCTGCTGTTAGCATTTCAGTGGAGAACCTGCTCCTCTCCCTCAATCTCTCACCTGTGGGGTATAGGTGCATGTATGTTTATGTGTATCTCGGTGTGTGTATGTTTTGTAAATACACACACACACAAAATAAGTGAACCTGTCCTATGATTCCAGAATTAGCAAATAAAAATGTGAACAGAGGCATTAAGTGCCACACACTCTAACTAGAGCTAAACACTGTTCTCAAACCTTTCTAAGAAGTGGCTAAACTGGCACAGCTGCCTTCAACCCACGCCTGGCACCCCCAGCATCTACCTCCCTTATTTATCTGACAAGACTGAAGAGCAGGGCAAGAGAAGGGCCATACACCCAAGGGCTAAAGAGGGGATCTATAAAAAGGGTGATTTCCAATAAAATAACCCATAAATATTAGGAACACTTAAAAGCAGGAAATACTGGCACCACATTCCCTGGTGGCCACCTGATGAGACAGCAGCCTTGTTGATTTGTTCTGTTCCTACCTAAGTAGGAAAACAGCTTTAGAGAGAGGGCAGGGCAGGAGCAACCTGTTCCTTCAGACGTCATGGCAAAAGTGCATAAGCTTCTGGAGGTCAAGAGGACACAAGGACGATGACCTTGACCCATCTTTCTTAAGCTCCACCTTGACCCATCTTTCTTATGCTTCTCTGGGTTGCCAGAGCAGAGGCACTGAAAAGCAGGAGCCATGGGTGGACTTCCGACAGGATTGAAGGTGAGCTAGAGGTTGTCAACCACGGTTAAGCCTTCTGTAGCTGGAAGGTCCCTTAAGAGGAATCTAAGAAAACTGACAATGCAGCCACCAGGAAAGAGACACAGAGAGGGCTCTGGGGTCCCCTCGGTGTGAACCAAAGAGACAATGACAACTAACAGAGGGAACCCCAGCAGCAGCCAGCTAAATAAGCAGTGTTAGTCCCTGCCCTCTTCCTCCTCCTCTCCCTGACAGACCAGAGGCCCTGTCACCTATAGGAGAGAGCAAAGAGGACTGTGACTAGACAAACAAAGCAAAAGGAAGAGTAATGGGCAGACTAGGTTTTTCCCATCCACATGGCTCAAGCCTGGATAGCACGGGAGAAGAGAAAATGAGGTCGGTCTTTTAAACTGAAAGAACTCATAGCAATTAAAGCA